TTATAATTAATAAAATTAATAAATATAAAATTTTATAATTTTAAATTATATTTTTAAAATATAATTTTGGGGTTACAATTTTAGGTCCAAAAAATTTTTGGTTTATCTTCAAAAATAATTACCCAAATTCAATGCATCGCCTCTTTATACATGCGTTCATTTGAACAACTGCTATTCTTTAAAAATTTTGTGTATGTTTATTAATCGCGCGCTCACGACAAAGAACCTCTTAAAATCTAGTAACTGAAACAAACGTTCAAATAATTTTTATGCGTCTGACTTCAGGGCAAAATTTTTAACGTGTTGTATAAAATCTAGTTTCTATCTTTCCCACAACCGTATACAGTATATACAGTATTTTAATCAGTTCATTACTTGCTTATTTTTAAAAAAATTATAACCAAAGATAAATTTTAATTAAACAATTGCAAAACGATGGTTACTAGCTTATTGTTATGTTCGCTATTTTCGTTACGTTCTCGGATCTCACAATATTGTTTTAGTGCAGATGTGGTATATTGTTTTAACGTGACACTTAAAAAAAGACAATGACACAAACAAAAAAAATTGCAAAAAAAAAAAGCGAGTATTGAGAAATCAAAAAAAAAAAAAAAAAAAAAATTTTCATATAATGTTCTCCTTTGCCCGTTGCCCTTCAGGTGGTAAAGTTTTGAGACCATCCTTTCTCCGGAAATCTCAATTGCAAATATCATACAGTATAGGCGATCTTACGCATGTGGGGAAACATCTTGCTATCGGAGGTGATTGCTTTTAAAGGCCGTTCATTGTGCTGCTTAGATAATTGTACTACACTGCCTTGCATATATTATCCGCACCCCTCTGTATTCCTCTTTGTCTCTCACCAACCAACACCAAAATTATTTATACTAACATTAAAATATTGTAATATGTACGCAACAGCGCGTGTGGGCGACATAAACCAATTGAGTCCTGGAGTTCATATGAAATATCATCAGGATGAAGGTGCTATAGAGGTAGAAACTTTGGAGCCAGTAATTACCGATACCACAAATGCTCAAAAATTTCCTCTGGGGCAAGGAAATTCAAAGGATCTACAACGTCTTCTCTTAGAGCGTCTACGGGATGGTGTGGATGACTCGGGCACTGACGATAGTAACGACTCTTTGACGCATTGCTCTTCAATACTCTCGTTCATTTCTCATTACGCAAGAGATTATTCAGATGCTTCAGATGAATTCGAAGATGTAAAAGAAATCTTTCCACAAAATGACAGGCAAGCCACCACCGCCTCAATGATCTCACCTAAATTTAGTAGATTAACTTTGGGTTCAATAAGAGATGCATTGAATAAGCCGAAAAACTCGAGACACATTAAAATGCTGAGTCAACTAAACCTCACTGCACCCGAGATCAACGAACCAATTATATTTGAATCAAAAGTGGCAAAATTGAGTTCACCTGCCATAAAGAAATCCTCGAAAAATCATCTTATATTGACGAGAAAGTGTTTATGTCAGTTTAAGAATGCGGAAAAGGCGGCCAAGATATTCGATGGTTTACCTTTGTGCACCCTCCCACCAAAAAGTCCAGATGGCGATAATCCTCACGGTTTCGCTAATTCTTCTGTCTTGCCAGCCGAAAATGTCTTAATAACTTTGGCTACAGTATTTGCGGTCACCGAAGATCTCACACCAGATCCGCATATTAGGTTGGACTACATATCTTCGCCAAAGAAACAATCCTTTATTTCCATCATGGCGCCGGACCTTCAGAAACATCGACAATGGCTTATCACCTTACGCCCAACGATCATGAATTCTGATCCTATTGGACCATATTTGAATTCCAGCCAGCGCGCATGGATCATGAAGAAACTGAACCAGCTTGACGACTTGGTCGACGAGAATGAGGAGAAATTAATAGCTTACCGAGTGTTGCTCAAGACTGTAATAGACGAAGATCGACCTGATCAAGGTGAAAAAGAACCACGGGTGCCCGTATTATTCGTACTTGGAAGGAGTAATATTTACATTATCCTGTGTAACTTGAGTGACGACGGAATATCCAATGAGAACAGTAGAAGAAGCCGAGATTTTAAGTCGGGTGATAAGCCAGCACTTTATCCATTGTTGATTGAAGACATCAAGCCCAAAGAGATCAATTTTCGGAAATATCAATATCCGCTACTCTGCCTAACCAACATCAGGTTCGGTGGACACGATGACACTTTTTCTATAACTTTTAAAATTAGCGTGGGATCCATCAATCGGACATTTGTACTTTCATCGTTATTATATAAAACCATAATAAACGACGTTAGGACAGCCATTGACTCGATTACCTTCTGGTGGCCAAATCCCTCCTATAATGTGCAAACGTCATCATCAGCATCCACCTCACCCTCGACATCCATAGTTTCACCTATTCGAGACGGTAAATCGGTACAAGAAATTGGACTGGAGAGAATGATTGAGGCCCAACGTCATGCTTTTCGTGTTTCCAAATCGAGAATATCATTTAGAGTGGATTATGTGATGGGAGCAGAAGCTATAGTTCTTGGAATGGGCGTCGAACATTTGCCATTTAGATTCACATTGCTTCCTCCTAAAGGAGGAGAGTTGGACGAGGATGAATCCTATACCAAATTCGAATTGTTAGCCGTACTTAATTCATTGCATCACCATCCACAATTATACGAGGTGATATTCAAAGATATCAATTTATTTGAACTACAAATCCAACCCGGACCAGAAAATCACAAATGCACCAATATGCTTGCCGCAATGGTTTACGATTTACTGGTATCAAATCCAAAGTTACGAAAATTGGATTTGACTTCGTGCGGAATCACCGGAGAGACTGTGGTAGCAATCGGAAATGCCCTGTTCACCGGAGAATTATCGCTCGAAAAATTATTTATTGGTAATAATTCGATCACAAGAGAAGGAATACAAGCATTGGCCACCGGACTCACAAATCATGGATCGATTCTGAAAGAACTCGACCTTTCGAATTGTAGGCTGACTTATGAAAGTTTAGAGGTGATATTGAATGCCCTTGACACTAACAATCCCGACCAGCTCGAAATCTTGAATCTTTCGGATAACACGTGCGACCTCGAGACCGATGTTTTATCCGATTTATTGTCGAGAACCGTGAGCTTGCGAAGCCTAAATTTACGTAAATGTGTCAATTTCTTCTCTAGACCCAATCAAATTATATCATATGAGGTGTTAGGAAGAACAAATTTAACGACTCTGGATATAGGACGGGTGTCCCTAAATATTCGAGATCATTTGTTCGCATTGTACGAGTATATCAAATCACCCGCCTTCTCAAAAATGAAATACTTCATTGTGGATCACTGTAACCTGGACGGCGAGGCGTTGGCGATAATTCTTTCATACATCAGCACCTCGCCGAACTATGAAAGCATAAGGGTTTGGGCGGGTGGAAATTATATAGGACGAACTTCCACTGGTTGCAAAGAGTTTTGTAATGCAGTGAGAAATGATTGGACACCGGCGTGGTTATCGTTAGAGGACACGATGTTTGGCTCTAATGCAGACGATGTGGTGGAAATTCTGTCCGCATTATCCGAAAACACTATGCTTAAATATTTGGATTTATCGCATCCACGACTTAGAATTGGTGAAAATGCAATGTTAAACACGCAGCATGTTATAACAGCAAAGAAAGCATGTGAGGTTATTGGAAGGTTGTTGAGGTATAACACGGGTCTCAAGGAGTTGAATTTGTCCGGTGATTCCGGTCGAAGATGGGGATCATCCTTGGGAATTCATTTGGAGGCATTGGAAGAGAATGAGGTGTTGGAAAGATTGAATGTCAGGGGGAATGTTATTCGTGATCACGGTGCAAAGTCTTTGAGCCAAGGTCTGAGGTCTAATGTCGCGTTGAAATTTTTGGATATTGACGAGAATGAGGTAAGCTTTAGTTTTGCCCGAGACATTATTGTTATTCATTCGTTCATCTTCACTATTTGCTTACCAAAAAAAAACATGCGTAATTTTTGAAATTACAATTTATTGGAATAGATTAGCATAGACGGATATATGGCACTTCACCAAGTCATGACCACTCGCGAAAATGTTACACTTCAAGAATTAGTATACCCTATGCATGATTTGCAAATACATAACGAATACATAGACACAAAACTATCTATAAACACACGGGACACGATATTTGGATCGTCGACGATGCGTAACAATCAGAGGATCGCCTCGGAGAGACAAAAAATCGAATTCAAGACAGTGATCGATCAAATCATGACAGCGATAGAAGAAAATTCGAAAACTGGAAATAATGAAGCAGCAGATGAAGGGATCAGGGAAGAAGAGTACGAGTGACAATGATTCTGAATACACTCAGAGGGGGAGAATCTTTGGATTGAAAAAGGGATTTCGTGAACCTTGCTTTATGATCAATCATGATAGATTATCACTGCAATTATACAAAGAGAAAAAAAAGAAAAAAAAAAAAACGAAAATAATTATTTTTCATCCATATCACCATTCTCACATCAGTTGCATATAAACTGTATTTTTAGCTCAAGTGTATTTTTATCACAGCACATTGAATTATATCTGGCGCCTGCAAATTGAACGTGTACAATTTGAATAATTGCATCATTAATCGGGAAGGAGATACGAAGGTGTCCTCAGTGGATCAAGTCCTCCGTGGACATTTGCAAGATTCTGATGGCGAGGGAAGTGAATCTACTGGAATAGATAATACCTTGCTTACCTGACCTGTCATGGATCTCACGTAGAACTTGGAGGCCTCGATGAAAGAAGGTTGGCTGTTTGATTATAGAATAAGTCAGTATAGTGTACCATAAGATTAATGTGTATTTTTAAACTCTTAGCACAGTGTAACAACATTTATTGCGTATATTTAATCGCACATCATGTAAATATTCGTGTTAACAATATTCAAGCTATTTATTATTAGCCTACTTGTTATTATCGATCATATAATTTTGACATCCACTGTATATTAATTTAAAGAATCAATCAAATAAATCTATTTAAAAATATACTGTATGTAATTTATCGAACAAATTATTTGGTACACTGTATCTAATTTTGAATGACTGGTCGAGAGCGATAGAAAATTGTTTTTATTCGGTCCTTACCCTCCCAAATAGCTGTCTGCCCTAATCTAAATAAGCGAGAAATAAGATCGGATTAATTATTAACTAGAAATTATTGAAAATGGAATTATTTAAATAGCTTGATTTTTGAAGAACTTTTCTACATGGATTTTAAGTATCGAGAACCCGAAACACCTCCAACTCGTCAATACAAAATACCTCCTCGCTCTCCCTGATCTTTTTCTTATAACTATTCTTAACGCATCTACATCCACTTTCATCCCTGAAATGTTCGCCGAACAATCTTAAGTCTGACTCCCCGCCACCAAAACATGGTCCATAGAATTCACTCTGATATATCGCTTTGGAATGGTCCTCGACCTCACTTACCACGGGATTGTAGTAGAATGCCTTATCCCCGAGGGCGAAGACAAAGCTTCGACTCGTTGAACTGTAGCCAATTACATTAGAGCGCCAGCTAAGCGGATTATAACCGCCAATAATTTCTCCCGTATTTTCGACTCGCAAGACTGCATGTGTGAAAGAGAAAAATAAGCAATTAAATTTTATAGAAAACAAATATCTTGGATACGAACGGGTTAAGGTGGGTCCTTCATCATCGCAGCACCGGTGAAAGGACTCTGGCGTAAAGCCATGCTCACTTCCCCGGAATAATCGATCAAATACATAGGTGTGGTTTGATTGCGCCTTCGTTTCATCAATCCATTTCGCTATTATCTCCGCATCATTTGGTGTCATAAGGATTGAGTCGATGTGGTCATACGGATTCTTTGGCAATTTGTCCTCGGAACTTTGTGACGGATTAAAATTTTGCTCTATGCTTGAATACAATCCTTGATCTATGTGCTCCAAAGAATGTCTCCAGGGCTTCACTTCTTTAGAAAAATCCTCAGTGCTCATATCAACAAATCTAATAAAAGGAATAAATGGTTTCAGTAGAGTCCCGAGGGAACGGAAATCTTCGGATTCCCAGACCGACGAGTCACTGGATAGCTGATTGATATTTGCAGTTCCCCATTCAACAAGATTTTTCCACAGGACCACGGGTTTTAACAAGAAATCGTGACTCTTGAAAAGAACCAACAAGGTCTCTTGACTAAACGAGGTGTAATCAATTGAATCGAATATTGTTGAAGGATTTTCTTTGAGAAGTTCTAACACGCATTTTCGTATTTTCGGATATCTAATCTCTTCGGATGCGAATCGATGAACGAGAACGAAAAATGGCATCAATATCCATGGATTATTGACAAGATGATCTTGAATGAATTCTGATAGGTCGTCGATGCACAATTCGTCAGCGGCTCTGAGAAGGTCGAGAATAACTGGTGCTTCATGTTCTGCCAGGACGAGCACTCCACCATATAAATAACTAAAAAAAAAATTCAATGCATATGTTCACGCGGTCAAACAATGACTAAGTTCATTTTAAAGATAGCTTGTATGCAGCACAGAATATAAAGTATATGCTACACTACACATACCGGGAAAAGTAAACTCACCGAAGAATGGTTTTAAATACCTCAGGAGAAATATTGGGTTTACTGAAAATCATAAAATTTCCTCTTGTTTTCACCCATTCGCTTGACAAGGCACTTTTGAAATAATTCGACCGACCTCTTAAAATAAGGGAATGTGCCTTGAATTCTTTGTAATTAGGTTCCTCGCCCGCGCAGATTAGAACATCATGACATTCGCCAGTTTCAAATAGGCTTATATAATCATTGGACAATTTGGTCAAAAATTTCAATGTTTGTGAATTCATTTTATATACTGTATTTGTATTTTGACAAGGATGGACTGCTTTTTCGGGAAATCAAAGTTAAGGAAAGAAGGTCTCGCAATTTGACAAATTCGTATCGTAAACGTTTTTCTATTTAAAAAATAAGGATAACGTCGATCTCGTCGCACGTGGGAGCTTTATGCATTCGCATTCGAAATCATAAAAGAGGAACCCAGCGCTTCGTTCGCCTATGTACATTTAAAATGCTCTCTGGAATTGATGAGCTTACCTACATCACATTTTCTTCGGTTCCCTGTTGCACGTGCCTAAAGTTCTCTTCGAAAAGGAAATCAAGTTTTTAGGTTGATTATACGCAATCGACATTCATTATAAAACGTCACTTTCTTTTTATAGATAAAAGTCAGACTTCTATTTACAGTTACTACAACTCCGAAATGTATGCACTCATCCTATTTTATATAAAACTTGATTCTCGGGCCAATCACCTATACTCTTAAAAGGTTTTTCTTTTGGATTACTAGCACCCGCACATTTAAAGATTATATTGTGATATTGGTCAGTGTCTATATCTTGTTATTAGATTCTTGAACAGTGGGAGGTCGTTTCTTTCCTTTCTCAATTAAAAAACGTTACCATAATTGGAAACAAATGCCCTTTGAAATATTCTTCAGAAGAATAAAGCAAAACCTGTTTAATACCAATAAATACAATCATAATAGCATGATTAAGTATAATATTCCATTTAAAACCAAAATCATTTTATTCTATGCGTTCATTAAACCCAAATAAATTTGGTTAAGAAATTGTTATAAGTTTGATTATTAATTTATTTTTTTTAAATAATAATAATACATTTTAAACGCGTTTAATAGTAAACTTTATTTTTAATTGTAAAACAAAATTTTTTAAATTAGGAGTGCCGAATAAAAAATTTTTCAATCAAAAATTGTTTGCTTATTATTAATAAGCCATTTTATAAATCTTTTATTCATAATAATATAACAATCTTAAAAAATTTTTATAACTAACTTTGGATTTTATTATTTAAAGGGTTTTGATAACTTTAAATTTTTTTCTTAATAAGATTTATAGAAAAATATTTTAAAATAACCTGTAGCTAAATTAGATTGAGAGTTTATTAATCAAAAGAATATATTTATTCGCGCACAATGATACATATTATAGTTAACCTTAACTTACAAATCTAATTAATCTATCTTAAATATAAAAATCTTTTAAAAACAACTTATTATTCTATAAGACTTTAAGTAAAAACTCTTTTAGTTTTTATAATGCAGTTAGCATTTTGTTACTATTGAACATTCTATCAAGTCACTAAAATTTAGATGAGTTGAAAAAAGAAAAGAGGAGATATATAAATATATATAAATATATTACAAGAAAAAAAAATAAAAAATATTATATAAGATTTATATTTTAAAATCTTTTTTTTTATAAATTTATTCAATTAAAATATTTTTTCTTAACTATTTGAGAAACTTATTTATTTTTAATTTTGATTTCATTCTTTTTTTTTTTTTTTTTTTTTATCGCAAATGAGCATTAAATGCAAGTTTTATTAGAAATTTAATTCATTAACATGACATTAATAGTCTTTACAATGTAAATTAACTATAGCCTATTGCGAT